AGAGGAGTGAAGTGCATCCTCTGGAAGGGAAAACTTGAGAGGCAAAGCAAGAGCCAGAGCCTGTTAAACCGCTGTGAGACTCAGCAGATGAGTCACATCTCGATTCTTTTCTTTTTTTCCCCCCCTCCTTTTTTAAGGAGGCCGGAGATACCTGTTCTTGAGCAAGAGCAGAGGCACTTCCTGGCCAACCCACCGCACACCCCATTTCCCGCCTGCAAAAAACCACCTTCCCCGCCAGCTCCCCGGGCTCTGACTCAGCCCTGCACCCCCCAGAGCTGACACAGGGCTAAAATTACACCATTTTGCTCTCTGGGTGCTCCCAGTTTTGAAAGTGAGCTGGACTGTGGGGCTCCACCTCGGCCCCAAGCCCTGACGTGATTCCGAAATGCAGCCGGGAGTGGTGCCGGGACCCCAGAAGAGGAACTGAGTTAGTCAGCAGAGGTGACACTCACTCCCCAACAGCCCCTGGAAGCTGATTCTTCCCCATGAGGCAAGGGGGAAGCTTTTTTTTTTTTTTTTTTTTCCTTCCAGAAGGCTCCAAAGCCGAGGGGATTTCGGATTCCACGCGCTGAGCCCGTCAGGCTGGACGGACACGGGAAGCAAATGCAAGATAAAAAGCACAGTCGTGCTTTAGAGGGAAGTCTGAGTCACAGTGCTCACACCGAGGCTGCTTTTCCACTCTCCACAGCGAGCCCTCCACCCCTGGCAGTCGCTTTTCCCACTCCCAATTCCCAGGGAGAAGGGATACAACCTCAGGTCCACTCCTGGCTCTCACAGACCTCGAGTCCAGCCGTTCTGACAACGTTTTTAGAGCAAGACACATTCCTTCAGGAGGACTTGGATTAGCAGGGGTAATTTCACGTTAGGAAAGGCAGGCACACTTTCCCCAAGCCCTGTCCACGAGGAGCAGGGCCCTGGGAGTGGGGGCAGAGCCCTGAGTGAGTCAGGGCAGGGTTGGGAGTCACGCTCCCCGCGGCCCGATAAGCGCCGGCATTTTGAGATGTGACTCACTACTACAGCGAGAGAGAGACACGAGTTTCCTCCTCTGGAGCCCTGTCTCCCGACTCCGAGGAGCTTAATTAAGCCAGAGTAAGTTCATTTACACAGCCACACCCTGAGCTGACAGCCAGGTAGACACAGCCCCAACACCCTGGAAGGGGAAGGCTTGGCAGGGGATCCACCACCCCGAGCCAGGGACTCCCACCTGGCTGGATAACCATGGGATGCTTTGGGTGGGGAGGCACCTCAAAGGCCATCTATTCCCAACCCACTGCCCAGGTAACGATGCTTCCCGAGGATTCCCAACAAGGAGACAGTTCCCACACTCGGCCTCGCACCTGGAGCTGTGGGAGCCACCTGGGAGGCTCTGCCAGCAGAGCCCGAGCAGCCCAGCTCCAGGCTGTGACCCCGCTGCCTCTCCCATGGGATGGCAGCTGTCACAGGGTCCGTGTCCCACTGCGCACATCCCGGCCCCCCCACAGCCCCAGCACCTGCCCAGGTCCTTTCCTGGGCTCACTCGTGTCCCGCTCAGGCACCACAGAGCCCCAGCGTCACATCTGTCGCTCCACGAGCACCTCGAGTCACTCAGCAGCCCTTCTGTCCATCCCTGCATGTCCTGCACCGGCCTCCAATCCTCCCTTTCCAAGCAATCCCCTCCGTGGGACGTGGCAGTGACAGCCCTTCCCAATTTACGCGGGGCTGGATCACCCTGACACTGGAACTGGCTCCCGATTATCAAACGCCAAGTGGGAATATCAAAGAAGCACCATCCTCTTCCACTTTATAAAAACAGTCCCTCATCTAATTCTCCAAGGAAATCACAGCCAGGCTTCCAAGCTGGGAGATCCAGAACAGAGCCCTCTTTATCTCAGCACAACGCCACCAGATTGCCCCTCTCTGCTTCTCTCGTCATTAAATACAAGTGACATACCAGGAGAGCTCCGCTGGGTAATCGCTTTATTTTTCTGCTTATTAGTTCTTTACCAACACTACAGCCATATTGAGAACACAGAATTCCTGGTTACTCCAGTCGGGAAGGGGGGGGGGGTGTCACAGGCCACAGACTCAGTCACTGGTGGGACAGGATTTGACGCCACACTCAGAGCTCGCTCCACGGAACTCACACGGACACGACTCGACGCGCTTGGAACTCCGGACGGGTTTGGAAATCACCGGGTCTCGTCCCAGGATTCCACACTTTTATCCTGCCTGTGAGCCACTACCTCGTGGGGGAGGTCCAGCTCCGGCCTAGAAAGGACGTGTTGGGAGTGAAACCCGTGGGGTTCGTTCGGTACCGACGGCCCTTTATTTCTGACGTCTCCGCCACATCTTTCAAAAGGAGCTTTTTGCCCCCTTTCTCCCTCCCCATCCATTCCCCCCCTCCCCCAAAAAACCCTCAAACCGTCAAAAAAAATTCCAGAAGCAAAAGCAGTTTCCTTTCACCTACAAAAACAGAGTAACAAAGTCACCAAAGGGGATACAAAGTCGTGAAGTCAAACTCAACGCAAAGGGGGAACCAACTCGGACGAGAAACGAAGGGACTGAAGTTTTCGTGGTGACCCAGAACAGGTTTAAGAAAAGTTCAAGAACCATTAACAGAGCTTCAAGTTTTCCAGTTTAGGCATTTACTTTTGTGCTTGGCTATTTTTTATTTGATGCTCCAGAAGAAAACAGTAACCATACTCTTTGTTTTTGTTTTTTTTTAAAGTTTTTATACCACCACACTTGTTTTGTTAAGTTACAGCAACAGGAAAAAAGAAAAAAAAAAGAAAAAAAAAAAGAGAAAATAAAAGAAAAGCTGGAAAATAGAGCAATGATTTTTTTTTTCCAACGGCAAAAAAGCCTTGGATTAAAGTAAACTAATCCCACTTCCTCTTCTTTAGGGCTGAGATTGAAGAGTGATTTCTACCTTGAGCTTCTTCAGACTCCCTAACTCCCAAAGTCCATCAGTGCTCTATCTTCTAGCACCAAGAACCCATCCAGTCCCATTTGCAAACCCCACATCCAGACAAGTCTTTTTGGAACCACATTCGAAAAGGACTTTGAGCAAAGCATTGGATTTCAGAAGCGAAATTCAGGATTTTTTTTTGTTTGTTTGTCTTCCCACACACATCTTTGGTAAGAGCTCCATTAATACAACGTACTCTCCACGCAGAGTCACCACTGCAGCAGTGTAGTGTAATGCCCCCAATTCCATGTAAAACTGATATTCTTGGAAAAAAAAATAATAATAAAAAAACCAACAAAGAAATTAAGGAGAAGGAAAATAAGAAAAAAAAAAAAGGAAAATAAAAGCCATTTTCTTCTGGTTTAGTAGCATACATTCCTAGAATTCCCCACCGGAGTTTTAACTCCTTGAGGAAATCTGAAGTTAATCCTTAAGGCTGAATAAGAACCAGCTGCTTGAACAGTTTGTGCACCCAGCGTTAATTAACACTTGATTGAGTTCTCTATGCAAATACTCGCCCTGGGTGGGGTTTTGGATTGGCCAGTGGCCCCTGCGGGCTGTGCCGTGGCTAACGAGCTGCTTGCCCTTTAAGAACTAATGATGGAAGTTTACATTCAGCGTCGATTCTCTCTCTCTCTCTCTGTCTGTCTCTCCCCTCCCCGCTCTCTTCAGTAGTTCCTCAATGGGCTCCGCACACCCAGCACAGTTCCCTTCCCACAGGACCTCCGGCTGCCCCGCAGGAGCTCGGCCCGGGCTCGGGAAACGAAAAGCAGAGAAGCGATTTCCTCAAAATGGCCATAACTGGTGTCAAAAGCACCGGGCTCGAGCCTCGGAACTCGCCCCCTTTTCCTCGAGGCTCCAACACGGAAAAAGTAACAACAACAACAACGATTTCCTTCTTTCTGTTGGAGGGGATCAGGGATCCTTTTTAGGGTAGAGGCAAGTCAGGGCTGGATTTCTGCCTGAACAGCTGCGATTTACAGCAAAACTCGCCGCTGTAACGTTTGTATCTCGGCCTCGTCTGCTCGGAAGGAACTTCCCCGCTCGGGGGACCGAGGAGCGAAAAAAATCCTGCAGCTAAACGTCATTTTAACAGCCCAAAAAAAAAAAAAACCCCAAAACTGACCTGGAACTACGGGCCACGGTTCGCTCCGTGGTGTGGGGAGCTGCTCTGCATCCCTCCTGCCGCGGGATGTGCGGGGGCAGGGAGGGCTGCCCGGCTCACATCCCAAAAGCAGTTCCTACATTTCCCGGCGCCCGAAATGCACCTCGAAACGCGGAATTCCCACTCTCTCCGCCACTGCGGGCAAGAATTCCCCTCGTTAGCCCGAGCCGTGGAGCCAGACTGAGTCGCTGTTTAGTTACAGATTAACAGATCTTTAAAAAAAAAAAAAAAAGAAAAAGAAGAAGGAAAAACCAAAAAGTCCTTAATATAAAAAGACAGACTGCGGTTTGATTTTAAGCAATAATTTTCAGTTTACTAGATGAGGAGTCGACCTAGCAACATATCCTGCAGGAATGCAAAAAAGTAGCAATCTACAGCAAAGTGAGAGAGAGAGAGGACAAAAATAAAATAAAATAAAATATATATATAATCAAAAAAAAAAAGTAGACCCAGAAAGCATACACTGAAAAATGGACCCCCTCCCCCAACATCCCCCCGAAATAATTCAAACCAGCAAAGGGCTATCGAGAGGAAACAACGAAAAAAAAAACCAACAACAACAACAACAAAAAAAAGTTACTTAGCAAGTCTACAATGTGTCCTTCCCCTGTTTGCTGGAAGTCTGGCATAGCATCTAGTGCCTGTGTTCGTGTCCCATTCCGAAGTTAGAGCATCCTAACGCCAAGCAGGAGGAGTTAGAACAGGAATCCAGCCAAGGGTGCGGGAGGAAAGGGTGGCAGAAAGGTGATCGTAAATCCTATGGATGCTTTTTATTTTCATTTTTTTTTTTAATTTTTTTTAAAAATTTTTTTTTTACTTTTTCGGTAGAGAATCATTCTTCTGGAAAGCCACGTGGGTTATTTTTTTTTTCCGTTTGTTTTAAATTTGTGTTTTTTTGTTTGTTTCTTTAATTCTTTGTAGACTAAAGAGTTCCTCTCCCCCATTAGGATTTATAATTGGACGTTAACCACGTCAGCCCTTCGTAGAGTCCGTCCCCCGTGGTGGCACAGGAGGGCTGCACATACCAATTCCTATCCCTGATCCGGGTCAGGCCCAGTTTCTCCTGGATCTCGTGGGGTTTCATGGCGTCGGGCAGGTCCTGCTTGTTGGCGAAGATGAGGATGATGGCGTCCCGCATCTCCCGGTCGTTGATGATGCGGTGCAGCTCCTGCCGCGCCTCGTCGATGCGGTCGCGGTCGGCGCAGTCCACCACGAAGATGAGCCCCTGCGTGCCCGTGTAGTAGTGCCGCCAGAGGGGCCGGATCTTGTCCTGGCCGCCCACGTCCCACACGTTGAACTTGACGTTCTTGTAGGTGACGGTCTCCACGTTGAAGCCCACGGTGGGGATGGTGGTCACCGACTGGCCCAGCTTCAGCTTGTACAGGATCGTGGTCTTGCCGGCCGCGTCCAGCCCCAGCATCAGGATCCGCATCTCCTTGTTCCCGAAGATCTTGGACAGCACCTTGCCCATCGCGGCGGCATCCAAGGGCGGGCGGCAGGGCGAGCGCCGGGCCCCGGCGGCGAGAGAAGGGGGGCGGGCGGGGCTCAGCGCGGGCCGCGCATGGGGCGCCGGGGAGGCGGCTCCCGCTGCTCCGCCGGGCCCGGGGCGGCGGCCGTGCTGTGCTGGGTTGGGCGCAGGCAGGCCCGGCTCAGCTCATGGGTGCCCCGCGGGTGGCGGTGCCGGTGCCGGTGCCGGGGGGGTCGCTCCGGGCCGCGCTCCCTCAGCCGCCGCCGCCGGAACAGGGGCCGCGCGCGCCCGCGCCCGCTTCCGCCCCGCCGCCGCCGCCGCCGCCCCCGCGCATGCGCCCCGCGCGCCGCCGCGCCCCGCCCTGCCCGCCTTCCGCCCGCGCCTTCCCGCCCGCCCCGCCGCGCCTGCGCGGGAGGCGCCGCCACGCCCGCGCGGCGGGAAGAGGCAGGGGAGGGGCGGGGCCTCCGCGCTGATTGGCGGGGGAGAGCGGGGGGCGGGGCCGCGGTGGAGAGAGGGCGCCACGCGATCGCGCGTCAGCGCGGGGCGCGCGCGGGGGGCGGGGCGAGCCTTAAAGGGGCAGGAGCCGGCGGGGACCGCGCCCCGCACCGGCCCCGGGGAGCGGGAGAGAGCCGGGAACGGGCCGGGATGGATCCCTGTGCGGGAGCGGGGAGGCCCTGGCACAGCGTGCCCAGAGCAGCTGTGGCTGCCCCTGGATCCCTGGGAGTGTCCCAGGCCGGGCTGGACGGGGCTCGGAGCGAGCCGGGAGAGTGGGAGGTGTCCCTGCCCACGGCAGGGAGTGGGACGGGATGATCCTCACGGTCCCTTTCGACCCAAACCACTCCGGGATTCTGCGATGCACCATCGGGTTTACAGCCCCGCGTTCTCTCGGGGCGCTCCCTGTAATTCCAAGCGGGGAAACTCCAGCCCCGGACAGCCCCTGTGGAAGCGCCGCGCTCGCCCCCGTCCCTCCCCCGCGCTCCGGGAGCCGCGTCCCGGCACGCCCGGGTGACACAGAGAGCAGCTCCTGCTCGCACACGTCGGGCCGGTCCCGCAGCCGGGACCTGTCCCGGCCCTGCGCTCCCGGGAATGTGCCAGAGGGGCTGGCACTGGGATCACTGCGGGAATGGGACAGGGAACAGTGCGGGAATGGGACAGGGAACACTGCGTGGCTGGTCCTGCCAGCCCGGGCGCTGGAGCAGGGGGTGCCACACAAGATTCCTGCTGGCAGGAAAGGAATTCTGGCTCGGTGTCTCCTCCCGAGCTCGTGGAGCGGCCAAGGGAAGCGGCGTCCGGAACACAAAACCAGGATCGTGGAATGCCAGAATCCCAGAGCGGTTTGCACTGGAAGGGACCTCTCATTCCACCCCTCTGCCATGGGCAGGGACACCTCCCACTAGGACGGTGATCACTCCGGGGTCTCCAGGGGATGTGGTCCCTCTTCTCCCGGTGTTTGTTCCCCTCGGGATCGTGTGTGGGGCTCTGACTTCACCAGATCCCGCCATCCCATCAAAAATACCAGATTTTGAGTTGATTTTTATGGCGGGCATGTGGCACATGCAAAGGAACCCCTCCTCGGAACAGCCAAGGGAAATGGTTTGGTGTCTTTAGAGGAACAGGAGGTTTCCTGGACCACAGAATTATTAAGGGGTCAAGCTCTGAGCTCTGGTGACCACTGACAGGACCCGAGGGAACATCTGGAGCTGTGTCAGGGGAGGGTTAGGTTGGATTTTAGGGAAAAGTTCTTCCCCCAGAGGGTGGTTGGCACTGAACAGGCTCCCCAGGGCAGTGGGCACAGCCCCAAGGCTGCCAGAGCTCCAGGAGGGTTTGGACAATGCTCTGAGGGACAGGGGTGGGATTGGTGGGCCAGGAGATGGACTGGCTGATCCTCGTGGGTCCCTTCCAACTCAGGGAATTCTGTGATTCCACAATGTCAGTAGGAGTTCCCAAGGAAGCTTTTGCTCTTTCCAGCAACGAGCACAGAGGGAGGGTGCCAAGGAAAACACGCCATCCGTGGCCTCTCCTAATGAGAGGCAGCGCCAGGGGCACGTCCTGCCGACCCAGGGCTCAGGAGCGTCCCCGCTGTGCCAGAGTTCACGCTCTGGTGATTAAAACAGCAGATAAAACTGCTAATTGTTGAACTGGATCGGGATTTACAGCGAGCCCTGATCCCGCTGGATGCAGCTGGCTCAGCCTCCTCTCGCTGGCAAGGGATATTTATCTAAACACGGGGCTGGATACTTGCAGGGCTAAAATTACCCTCAGGATGTGGATGTCAGTGGGTTTCTGCTTGGCTCCGCTCCCCGTGGCCGTTTCCGTGCCGGAGAGCACCAGTTCAGTCAGTCAGGCAGCACGGGACCACAAGTGCTCCTCAAAATCCTCGGGAAAGGTGATGTCAGGAGCTTTAAGGTCCTGCCTTGCCCGTGTCGTGGCATGGACGGCCCTTCCCGCTGCCTCAGAGCAGCGTTTTGTGCTTTCAGGAAATGACTTTTTGGGGCTTTTGTTCTGACAGCGGGAGGCGTTGAGGGGAGGGTGTGACCGCGCCGAGGTCGTTCTGCTTTCTTTTTTTTTTTTTTTTTGAGTAGCTGGGAGTTTCCTCTGGGGCTTTCTTCTTCACCAGCTGGGAAAGGTGGATCTCAAGCACCCAGCCAGGGGAACGCGGGATGGGTTTGGGGATTCTCGGCTGTGGGAAGGGCTGGCTGTGCCTGTGTGGGTACCACGAGGCACAAACCCCAGCGAGGAACCAACGTGGGGAAGTGCCTTTTCCATCATCTTCTCCACGTTTTGCGCCCCGACATAATGTTCCTCAGGTCTCTCCTCTTGAATCGTGGCTTTTTGGGGTCTCCTGGAGTGGAGCGTTGTCCCTCGTCCTTCGGGATTGAGGGCAAACAGGGCTTGGGCCATTTCACAGCTTTCCAGAACTCCTCCTCTCCTTCTCCTCCTGCTAAACTGGGAGTGATGGAGCTCGTGGAATCCCTGCAGGTGTTCCAGTGGCAGCTGCTGCTGCGCTGGGGCTGCTGTGGGGCCGATCCCTGGGGACAGGCCCTTCCCATGACTCAGCGGGCGCTTCCTGCCCGGCTCCTGCCCCTGCAGGGATCCTGCCTGCCTGTGCTTGATATCAGCGAGGAGAGGCTGCTCCAATCTCTGCTGTCCCTTTGCCAGCTCAGACCTGCTCCTTTCCTGCTGCGTGTCCTGCCCTGGGTGGGCCCGTGGCCCAGAGTGTTTGCTCCGGGCTGTGGTGGCACTTCTGCCACCCTGTGACCTGCTGGAAGCGCCCAAAAATGGCCTTCCCATCGTCCGTGTCTCAGGTCCTGGCAAAGAGGAGCGATGGAGCTGCACATCTTCACACACACAGGAAAGCCCGAGCTTGGCTGAGGGTGTGGGGATGTGGCAGCGTGTGGTTGAATCCCAGGGTGGGTCAGGCTGGGAGGGACCACAGCGGGTCATCTGGTCCAACCTCCCTGCTCCGGGTCATCCCACAGGGCTGTGCCCAGGGGGTTCTGGAATATCTCCAGTGGGGGAGACTCCACACCGTCTCTGGGCAATCTGTTCCTGTGCATGGTCACCCACGTAAGGAGAGAAGTTTTTCCCTCAGAAAAAGAAATGGGATTCACTCAGGCAAATGCTTTTCCACCTGCACTGGGGTTTGTTTCCGAGTATCCTCCCTGCCCTTCAGGAAAACTTCCTGTCCTTACTGTCTGTGCACCAGAGGGGGGTTTTACACGGCCTGGCACGTGGTTTGAAAGTAAATTCTTCATGCTCCTTGGGACGATGGAGCAAGGAGACATCTGAGAACTCAGCACTTTCGGGAGTTAAGATCTCAGATTAGTCACTCATAAACCCTGTGGACGTCAATCCCTGCAGCTCACGGTTACCAACCCCGCAGGGAATGGGGGAGAAGCTGGAGAGAGAGCACCACCTACTTTTGGAACATTTTAGTGTCGAGTCCCGTGGGTTTCCGTGAACGAACAGGAAGGACGGGAAACAGGAAGCAGAATGGAAATGGCATCACTTTGGTGAGGCAAATAAAGGCTTCTCTCCGTGAGGAATCCCGGTGCTGTGTCCCTGCAGAGCCACTGCAGCTCCTCCTGGAGAGCCAACACAGCCCTTAAAATGGGAATTTTCAAGTGAGGATCCTTTAAACTGGGAGTTTGTCCCGGCATGGGGAGTTTTGAGAGACAAGTTCTTGTTTTTAAGGTAGCGACTGAATTCTCTGTGGGATGGGAATGTGGCTCCACAGATGAAGTGTGATGGTCTGAGCAAGACATTCTTCACCTCAGCGCTCAGCCTGAAGAAAATTGATATAAATCTGCTCCCTGTGACCACCCTCAGGGAAAGAAATGCATCTTTGGGCACTACATGCTCGATACAGCACAGGGTCTTATGATGCTGATTGATTTTTGAGGTCAAATACCCAACAAAAGCACTTAAAACACCTGAAGGTGTTCTGGGTTACCCAAAAAACATGAGCTCTTAGAAGGGGTTCCAGTTTCACCCACCTGCTTAAGAATTAAAACCCTTCTCGGGGCCTTGGTAACCCCCAGCCAGTTACTGGGTAGCCTGAAGAGGTTAAATATTTCAAAAGTGAGTTAAATATTTTAAAAGTGAGTTAAATGTTTTAAAGGTAAGCCCCGGCTGGCAGCGTGTGGCTGGATGGAGTGCCTGTTGCACGCTGTTGATTTACAGCCTGGTTATTAAGTAATTACGGTTATAAAGTGATTAGGGGTCAAACCTCGGGGGAAAAAAAAGATAAATATCTGTGGGACCTCACCTGGGCCTGGCTGCTCCTTATCTTTCATTATCCCTGAGGAACTTGTGGGCAGGGTAGGCAACAGGGTTTACATTTCTTGTTTTCCGTGGATTTGTCACGGTGAATTCATCAAGCCTGGAGGGAATGGATCGATACCCATCCATGTTTTTACCTCTTTGCATGGGAATCAAATTCCAATCAGTTTGGATCACCGGGCCAGACCTGTCTGAAGGAGGTGTAGCCCATCTTTGCCTGCTCTTTTGGCAGAGGGAGATGGGAAAAGCCTCTCCTGCACTGATCCTTCAAAAAGGCCTTTGTGGCTTTCCAAGGAAGGAAGAGGGAATATAATAAGGCTTTGGGCTTAGTATCTGTGCTAGATAAATTCTCCTGTGGTGAAAAAACAAATGATATCCTTGCTGTAACAATGGCATTCCAGGGGTAGATCTGTCATGGAGATATGGGACACAATGGGCCAAGTGTCCTCTGATGGGGTGAGTCAGGGTAAGAGGCACTTTCTGAGAGCACTTGGCTGTGGTCACTCCTGCCTGTGGACAGGGAGGGGTGGGAATTGTCCCCGTGGATGTCTC